TGTGAGCCTGTCTTCACACAACTCTGTGGTGAGAAGGGTACCCCATCCAACTCAGTGAAAGGCAATCAAATGATCCATTTTTATTTAAGCAGCAAAACAGGTGTCTAGGATTAGAAGATTTATTCTCAGGTTCTGCAACCCAGTGTTCTTAGTTATTGAGCAGTTGGAAGTACAAACCCACAGGCTGCACATAACACTGATTGCTTTTGATAGAAATAAAGAATATCTTGCTGTTACCGTCAAGCCTTGAAACTGACTTCCAGCTAATGACCCAAATAAACTGTACTTGAAATTGTATAATTGAGATCGAAGGCTGTCTGGGGCTTCTAGCTGGTACACAGATTCCACATCCATGAGCTTTTGAGTATGGTCATTGAGCTGAAATGGAGAAGGTTAAAACTCTCATTTTCATTACTAAACGCCCCCCATCTCCCAATACAAATGTGACATTTCAATTTTGCACAGTCCAGCTCTTCTTAAATCATCTGTATAAAAACTTCAGATCTTGATTGATGATGGATGAGCTATTGTCTCCTAAAGCACCCAGTTCTCATTACCCTTTAAGACAGAACTTATTAATGATGGACCTGAAGTGCTTTCCTAGTGGGTCATCAGCAATGAGCTATGCTGAGGGATCAAAAGACTTGGTTTGGCATGAAATTTCCAGACTTGAGCTGTTTTCAGATGATGCATTCAGCATCTTGGGTGAAATAGGAGAAGAGATCCTCATCACTGGGGTGCTTATGGTAAAGATGCAGCCCTGTCAACCTGCAAAGGTGCTTCAGCTCGAGTGAGGCTGACCTTGGAAATTCAGGTGTCATCAACAGGTGTTATATAATACATACATGCAGGATATATCTGTGGATGCTGGGGTGTAAAAGACAGCTGCTTCCTTCATATCCAGTCAGCTTGATGGTGTAAGATATATTCTGGTTTTCTTTTGGACTGGTTAGAGTGGATATGCCCCACAGTTTTTCCTAATTAACTCCCTCCCCTTTCCCTGCCCACTTCAGGTCCCGTTCTTTTCCCTCTCACCATGCCATCATCCAGTTCCTTGTGCCAACTGGTTTTGTAGCACCAGAGAACAGCTTTTCATTTGCAACCTGGAATAGCAATAGCCATTCTATAACCATTTTTGTAACAATTTTAGAAACAGATTCTAGAGCTAAATAGATGTTTACAACCCCCACTGCATATAAACATACATGAGTAACTTTCACTCCAGGATACATTACAGAATGAGAATATGGATTGCCAATTTAACCCACATTAGAAATTGGATAGCAGACCATGAGGAGTTATACTGTACACAAAAAAAAAAAAAGTCAGCTCAATAAAATGCCCTTTTAACAGATGGAAGAAGAAAAGTGGTTTCCCTCTCTGGTGTAAAGCAGACACCACCCTTGCAGAGCCAGTGTCCCTTTGCAATTATTGTATGCTTCTGGAGGCTGATAATGTGTTATTCATGACTCAAATCAAACTCTGAGTCCCTTTTTGAATTTGGCAGACTAAGTATGAACTATGTGTGATGTACCTGTCTGTGTTCCTCGTTTGCCAGAGACCTGGACGTTTCCATTTCTCCTGCTAGTATTTATTGTATGGTAGGTTACCAAAGTCTGTGGGAATGTTTCATTAGGCTAATGAAAGCAAGAAAATAGCTGCTATAACAACAGATAATACATTTCTGATTTCACTTCCTGAGTAAATAACCCTTTAAGAGAATTTTAATAACATGCAGGTATAAGTTCCCCACAATCATTTGAGGGTAATAAGAAAAATGACAGAATTCAGTGGCAAGGACACATGCTGATTTATTTTTGTCTAACTTTGTTTGCAGAGTTATACTGCTTTTAAGCCAGTAGAGTAGTTCTAATAAGGGAGATGATAAGATTTGCCATTCACTTGAGAATCAAGTGGCAAAAGCCCTTGGTGCTACTCCTTTGCTCCTTTTGCAAACCAGGAGATTGTGGTACCCTGAAGTGTTACACCTTGCAGAAAGATGTCCAAAGTTGTCTGTCACCTCTAGGAACAATTTTCCCAGTGAAACCTAGTGGGTCTTGTGCTTAGAAATCCCCTTTTGTTCCTTGATGTCCCTGAGCAGGGTGGAAGCCCAAGGTAGCACTAGCTGCTAGCAGGGTCATATTTGGAGTAACAGTTTCCCAATGTCCCAAAAAATTGTTTCAGAAGACAAAAATACTCACCCCCAAATGGTATTTAAAATATGTTTCGCTCTGAGCAGTCTGGTTTTGGGTTTCTCTGGCAGGAGCTGGCTTTGTTCACAAAATTCACTCAGGGATTTGGCATTCTGTCTTCTGCTCCAGCCTTGGAAGGAGTTGAGCAAAGAGGCACCTCAGATGTTGTACACAGGAGAAGAAACCTTTTTGCCTGGCTTCCACCTCTGGCTTGCCTGCACAGGCAGAGATCCTGCCTTTCTGCTCCTGTTCATTGTTTAACTTTATCTCTCACTTTCAGGGCTGTAAATTAAAATGAGATGATGACTTTATGATGATGAGTTCATTATACAGCAGCTCTATTGTATATTGATTACAGTTGTGCTTCATTTGCTTAACATGTAACAGGGTTTATTAGCTCTTCCCAGGCATTGTTCTTGCTAAGAGAGGGCAAAGAAGTGCAAAATGCATTTGGAGTTTGAGTTAGTGAAGCCAATGCGTCTGTGCTGATTTACACACACCAAGGATTCGGTGTAAAGAAAAGTAGGATAGCAGATTGTTTTGGGAAGGTGGAGTGGAAATGAGTCTGGCTCCCAGAGAGCACAAAGAGTCAAATACAAGTGCTCTAAAGATTGTACTAAACTTTGAACTCGGTGTTGCTTTATATCCACAAGAGCTCACCTTTGTTATTACTCGTGTTTGTTTGCACCTCAGCGCATCACTGACCTAGAAACCTTAATTCTGTCTCTGGTGAAAAATGGTGCAGTGCAGGGAAAATGGAGGCTCTGTATCCTGTTTTTGGGAAAAAGCAGCAGAAACAGCACTTGCTATTCAGTGATGAGGCAAGTCAGAGCATTTTTTGTGGTTTTAGTAATTCACCGTAGAAAGTGTTGGCTTCCCTGAGGTATAGCATATGGTACACTTCCTGGTTACCTTTATGCTGAAAACAAGCCTTTCTCCACAAATTGAAACTATTAGAATTACTTTCCTGCTTTACAGAGATCCTGCTTTACAAGAATGTGTCAAAGTTCCTAGCAGGAAAAAAACTTGGCTAGGTGGAAACTCTTGAAAGCCAGAAATGATGCCAGTTCAGTGTGCCAGCTGATACAGGAACTATGTAGAATTGTATGTGTGTGTTTAAGAAACTGTAAATGCAGATTTTACAGTTTTTTCATTGTTTTTATGTTATTTTTAATCAAAATCTGGGCCATAATGGATTAGGTAATCCAGTGTAGCTGGGACAACACAGAGAAATCATCATTAATCACAATTTCAAGTGTTCTTCTAAGCCCCCCCCTTTCTCCCCAGAGGAAAATTTTTAACAGAATCTGTATAGGGTTTTTTTTTTCTGTGATCATAAGAATATTATACAGACAGATCATTGCTATATCTCTAATCTGGACTGCTTCTCTGTATCAGATTATTATCATTGTTTATATTTATAAGCCCCTTTTCAATGAAAAGCCAAGCTTTTAAACCAGAGGTTTCTAAGAAATAGTAATACTGATTTATATGGTGGGGAGATGTATTTACAGATGATCCTTTATTAAATACATCCCTTGATTGGGGGCTGCCTCATTTACATGCTGTGGCCTGTAAACCCTGAAATTTAAAAAAGAAATAAAGCACAGTAATTCCTTCCTTGGTGTGTGTAAATGTTTGCATTCCCACTACAGCTTTTGAAGTTTTCCTGGCAGATGAGGATTATCAGACTGCTTTAATCATTGCTCCTGCCATAGTCAGGAGTTACTCTGCATGTCTCTGTGAGAAGTGTGACACTCCTGGATCCACAGCACCACTTCTTGTCATTCCAAGGTGCCATTAGGATCTAACCTTCAGCATTTCTCTGCTGAGGCTTGAAGCTCTGACACTGAAGGTTTTGGACTCATTGTTCCTGTAAACTTTCATGAAAGTCATGTGCGCTGTCTCCTGCTTTGGAAATAAAAGAGACAGGTTAAGTAGAGGAATTGTGAATTTGAACAAGGGTTTAAGGGGTAAAAAAAATAAGTTTTTGCTCTAGAGGAAACCCTGGTGCTACCATCAACAACTGAAAGATCATTTTCATGTTGAGATTTGATATATCAAGTCTCTACAGGCAGGGCAATAGAGTTGGTTTTTTTTAAAAAAAAAAAACTGCTATAAATATGAAAATAAAAAGAAAACCCAACAAAACACACAAAAGCCCCACAACCTAAGAAGAACCCCAAAACTTTTCCCTGTTTAAAAATCATCTCACTTTAACACAAAGCTTCCAGCAAGGCATGTCCATAGGAGTTTTGGGTCATAGTGTTTGAGGTCTGGATCATTGCTGTGAAGTATTTGGGTGTTTTGGAAGATGGTGTTACAGCAGCACAGGCTATAGCAGAACATCTTCTCCAGACCTGGTGCTGACTGGCCCCTTCTCATGTCCTGTGGGCCCATCACATCACAGTTCTTTATTATAAGTTTTAAGCATTTCTGCAAATTAATGAAATGCAGTATAATGTGATTGATTGATTGATTGATTGTGTCTTTAAAGTCATTTAACTGCTGAAGGTTATTTTACCCACAAAATACAGAAGTGTTCCATACATTGTCACTCTGGAACAAAAGGTAAACAACTGTGTGTCAGTCTTCATCAGGTTTCTTCTGCATGTGAATAAAGGGTTCCTGTTTACAAATACTGTGAGCTGCTTGTCCTCCAGTTTTCAGATTATTAAATCAGATTACAGTGAGAATTTTTTTTTTGCATTTAAATTTCATGCCCTCTCTCCAATGCACATTTAGCAATAGATCTAATCAGCTGTCTGAACTCTTACAAGTCCATTGTTCTCTTGTTCTTCTGCACAGAGATACTGAATGGAGGGGTGTACGTTGGCCAGAACAAATTCCTCTGCTTCGCAGACACCATTCATTGGCAAGACATCGTGCGTAACCCCTGGGCCTCCAACTTCACTCTGGTTCCAACAAATGGCAGCTCAGGATGTAAGTACTGCTTTTATTCACAGCCTTGTCATCTCCTCAGCATGAAACAGGATAAATATGGCCACAAGTTTCCCCTGATCCTCTGTTACGGAGAATTATATTGGTAAATTTTCCTTTCATTGTTCCCTGCATTTTTTTTCTAAGTTTGTTTTCTACTTGGAGGAGCACTTAGCCAGCTCTCAAAAACAGTGTCTGTAGAGGGTATTTGTGAACATCATAGATTTTCTGAATTTTCTCCCATCTGCTTTCCCTCTTTTGCATTTTCTTCTTCTTCTTTATTGCTAAAGCCACTGTGGTGCTGTGGAAGCGCAGACGTTCCTGTTTGCTTTGCATTTGTTCCTGCTGCTCAGGTTGGTCCTTGAGTCACAATGGTCTGTCTATGGCATCATAATTAGCTGCTGGAGTAATTATGGTAAAAGCTCATGGATATTTTGACTTTAGATGAGAAGTGAACCTCAAAGAAATAGTTATCCTATTGTCTTGTGTGTATATCGCTGAAGAGAGAGAGAGAATTTGCAGAGGATGGAGTGTTCTTCACAGTATAACTAATCATTCTTTTTACTATGTTTTCTTTATTTTAATGCTTTCCATTCCAAACCTGAAATATCTAGAGTTTCTCCATTTCCCCTTCCCAAGAATTGTTTGCCTTTAGTGAATCATTCTTATGATTCTTGCAGCAATAATGAATTGTAGTGAATGATGGTGACAGGGATACAGAGTGTTTAAGCAAAATATTCCATAATGGAGTAAACTGCATTCAGAATGAATGCTGTACTATTAAACAGTACCCTCAGGATGTACCAACATTGAAATTCAGAGACAGGCTGGGAAGAAGTTGATAGCAGGTGTCAAAGGTGGCACCACAGCAGACGTATTGTTCTGAGCATTCCGGATATGGGGACATTCTGGATTGCTTTCCGTATCTGAAGGTGTCCCTCGAGCATGGATAAATGACTGATTGCCTCTCTAGCTTCCACTACAGCCAAGAAACATTTCTTCTCTTGTACATTGGGAACTCAGAAAACAAAAACAAAAATAAAATGTCAATACTCTGGGTAGAGACCATTCGATGAATCCCCATAATTTCTAAGCAGTAACTTGTTTTTAACCAGGTGCTTTGTGGTGTAATAGATTTTATAGAAGGCTGACTTGCTTTTGCATATTTCATCTGCTCCCCTTACTACCAGAGCACAGGCACTTGATACAAGGCTTCCTCCAGGAGCCTGCCAAGCTGCACTGCTCCTCCACATCCCAGCTCCAGAGCTGAGCCTCATCACTTCTGCCTTCTGGCTGGAAACCTGACATAGTTGTAATGCAGCCAGCTCTCTTATTTGCATCTTAAAAACCCTCATCACTGCTGATGATCAGTTCTAGGCAGAACCAATGAAACCTTTGAAGGTGAGGGAATGCCTGTACCCTTTATTGCTTCGAGAAAAAGACTTGGTTCTTACTTTGTTTTGTTCTGTTATTGGGTTTTCTTTTAACCTTTCCCAGTTCTTCAAGACAAATGCTCCTGCTCTTTTAAAAAAGCAGCCAACATCAATACTATCTTTTTGAGGTGCCAGAAGTTTCCTGGTGGCTCCAGAACAGGAAGAAGATCCATTCTGAGTACTTTTAGAATCACATCCTGAAAGAAAAGATGGCAAATATTAGTGCCCACACACAATCAGATGAAAAAATGTATGTAGCCAAGTCCAGTTTTCTTCAAAAGGTTTTTTTTATTTCTTTTGAGTTGTTTTGAAACATAGGGAAGAAACAAATTGTGTTTTGCCATTTGTGCTTGATAAATAAGATAAACAGCATTATTTCAATGATTGAGAGCTATGTACCAAGGCAGCTTCATTAAGATAGCCACCCAAATTTTACTCTATTTTTCCTTACTTGGATGAAGCAGTGCACAACTGGACTGTATTTAACTTGATAAACATAAGTATCTCCTGAGAAAATCGATCCCATCTCAGTACAATTAATGAGTCCAGTAAAATTTGATTAAATAAGCTAATCCAAACCATTTCTGTCTTCACAAAATATAAACCACGTCATACAAAAAGCCACCAAATGCTTAAAAAGGTCCAAAGGCTTTGGGTAACAAAGAACTCAGGTACAGAAATCACCATTTAAAATAGCCTGTAATTAAATACCTGTCTGCACGTGGGTGCATGCATGTCCTGTGCACACACATAGGACCTGGAGAAATGAACATTGAATTTTAACCCTGGAAATCGGTGTAGAATGTCATTAAATGAGGACTATGCTTCTCAAGTTTGGCTCACATGTCACTTTTCACAAACTGCTAGGGAGTGAGTGTTTGCTGTGCACAGCCTTGCTTTTCTCCACTGCTGCAAATGATGCTCAGTGAATTACAAAGTTCTTTCCTGCACAGACTGTGACTCATGCATTTCTGGATCCAGCATGTGTATGTATCTACTGTTTAAATCTCAGGTGTCTCCTAGCCAATGGAAACCTTAGCTAAATCCACTGGAACTACAGAAGTATGTGCTGCTTGGCATTACTGAGAAAATCCCAAAGTCAGAATATTTTCTAAAGGACTACTGGGTTTTACTGTTTATCTATAAACCTTTGTAGGAGGGAATGTGAACCAGCCAAAGCTGCTGTGTGAAGCTCAGCAAAGTCCATCTAGCAGTAATTCAGGGAAGCCTGTGGAAGATCCTGTAAGACCTGGCTAGCAGCAACTCGTGCCACGTTTAGCCGTGACTGGCAGACTGGAGGGTAACTTATGCCCCAGGAATTGTGAGGGCTGTTCCACTGAGCACATCAGGAGTGGTCCCTGGCAGAGAAAGCATCCAGGGACAGAGGCTGTGACCTGCCATGAGTGTCAGGATCTGGTACGTCATCGTTCCAGCAGGAGCAGCACCAAACACATTTTGGTGCTTTGCCATCACTGGCGTTGTTTACAACCATCAGTAGGGGGCATAAAGCCTCCCCAGAGGTGTCTACACGTCCAAAAGATCAAGTGCCCAGCCTCAGAGAAGACCCTCATGCTTGCTGGGCTTTGGCCATGGCCAGAGGGACTGCAGCAGGTTGATGTGCATGCAGTGTCACACCTGGGCACCAACATGGGTGGGAGCTTAGGGCACAGCCTTGGCAGGGACCTGACACTGCAGGTGCCCATGCTGTTCCCTTCCCCAGCCAGCTGGAAAAGCTGACAGTGGTCTGACTTCAGGGATAATTTCACTTGAACCCTCCCTTGCTGTTCCAGTGCAATCAGCAGAGGAAGACAAAAGGGAGGAGTGAAACGACGCTCCGAAGGAAAATCAGTCCCCTGCCTCTGTGCCCATTTCATAGCTGGGATCTGCCAATTCTGGCAATCTCCTTCATTCACATCAGTGCTAGACAGAAGAGAATATGGCCAATGAACTGTGGGAATAAAGCTCCTCTGATTCCCTTCTTCACAGGCGTTCATTGTCACATCAGTGCTAAGGAGCCAGTTGAAAAGGCCATGGTGTCTTAAACACTGACAGAAATACTGCAGATATGTGAATCCTGAGTGCTGCTTCTCCTTTTTTCTTCAAGTTCTGATCAAATGCATGCAGAAAAGCTGGTGTTGGAGGCCTCTGAGTGACACGGTGTCACCGTTCAGATGCACAGAGGAGGTGGCTGCTGGCTCAGTGCTCAGATAAACAAACCCTGCACCAGGGACCACACGTGCTTCAGCTCTCCCAGGACACAGCCTCTGTGCCTGGCATTTTGACTCACAAAACCACTGAAATATTTACTGCTTGCACCACCTTCCCACACTGTTATCTTGTAGCTGAAGCTTTTGGAATTAGTTGTAACTTGAAAGCAGCCTTCTCTTCTGTTTACCCGAATTCTGTGCTGCCAGCCTGGGGTTTTAAGCTGAGCACCTTGCAGTGGGAATCTCAAAAGCACTTAACTCTCCAAGGAACAGAACTTTCCCTTTAGGTTTACATTACTGAAATTGTTTCTGCAACACTGAAAATCTATTTTCCCTCCTTCCAAAAATCAGCGATGAATTCAAGCATTGGCCGAGCAAGCTGCAAGCCTTGCTTTGCAAGAGCCACCTGTTAGCACATCCACTTTTTGGGTTCAGCCCCTTAACTGAGGAGCTGGAGGTAGAAACCCAGGGTGCAGCTCTCAGCAACAGTGCAAGAAATAAAGCAGGGAAAAAGAATTAGGCTTCTTGCCTAAAAGACCACAAGATTAGTAGAGCTCCCTGAGCAGCTTTTGGGAGAGTCTAGTGAAAACCTGGCTGCTTTCATCTGTGTTTTCAATGTTCTCCTCAGTTTTGTTGTTAGCAGGAACTGGGCAAGACTCACATTTTGTCAGGTGAGCTTTTTTACAGGATTTGTCAAAGACCATAGTATTAAATTGGAGTTTTCAAAGGAACTTTACTTGGAGCTTTTGTTTCACAGAAAGACTTGTGGAGTTTGAAGTGTTTCATTGAGGTCACTTCCATAGCCAATAGCATATGTTCAAATCAGTCAGTAACACTCTTAGAAATACTGAAACTATGGATGCATGTTCATGATACAGCTGGTGACTGGGTAATGGATGCAAAAATCACTCTCCATTTTCAAATTAAAAAAAAAAATTAAGTTGCTTTTCAAGGAGTTATTAAAAAAAAAATAAATGCTGGATTGTGTGTTGGCATGTGCCCAGAGTTGTGCAAAATAAACTCTGTGAAAATTAAATCCATTTTAAAGTATCTTCCTGAAGATTCTTCTCAGACTCTGAAGTGCAGTGAGATCTCTGGAAAAAAATTCCCTTTACCAATCTAGCTTTTCAACTGAGTGCCTGTCAGCTGTGAATAAAGCTGGAATTTTTGGCAAGGTACTTTTTCAGGCAGAACAACTTCAGTTCCTTGCTCTTCACAGCGTGGCACTCCTCTGTCATTGATTTGAATCTAATTGCAGCCTGTGGTGTGAGAACACCCCAGTTCTGAGCTGTGCAGAAGCACTGCTGTAGAGTTACAGGGAGAAGAGACTTGGTCTTCAGGAGTGTGCCTGTGGCTCAATAAA